ACCGCAAACCTCTCTTCCTGCTTATATTTATGCAGGTACCACCCTGGAGCGCGCAGGTCTACACTCCTCTTGCACAGGATGAGGATGTTTGCAAAGTGCGGACCTAGATCCCTGCTGAGTCCCTTAGTTAAACTTCTGGACTTCTCAAGTTGAAACAATGTATCAACCATTAGAGTGTCAAATGCTCCAGGAATGAGAAGCAGAATGAGAAAGAGTGAACATATGCATTGCACTTCCTGAAGAGGGAGCCCTGTTTTTTTCCTAGAGAAAAAGCAGATTATTTCTTTAAGAGGTGATTACTATCAGACATCCTGCCTTCTATTTCTGTGTGTTTTACAAAGAGAGTTAACCTAATGACATTTCTTTCGCATTTTCACCTGTGATGGCTTTCTAATGCCGTTGGCTAAGTTAACCTGCATGCTCTTCCCTACGTGTTTGTAGTTGGGATTAAAGGCCACAGGGAGCAGATAGCCAGACTTGCAGGGCAGGGGTGAGGCAGTAGACGTCCTGGCAGGCTCCCCTCGCCTGTCACTTACCTGCTACTCTGACCTTCTCAGCAACCTTCTGCAGCTTCTCACTCCTCAGCCAAGCGTGTGGGTGATCTGGCGGCCTCAGCAGGGCCCAGCCCTTTCACAGAGTCCAATCTGCTGATGCGCGGGCCAGGGTGTCATAGGAGTGGTGGTGGGTTTCAGACCGTCGGTGGGTCTCCAAGTCACGTTTGTGAGTTTTAGTTTCTCTTTGCTCATTCTAATTTAAATCCATTTCCCTTTCCCATTCTTGCTCTGTGGATTTTAACCCACAACGTCGGACACAACAGCAGCAGCTTTGAGGGACTGCTGGACCATCTCTCAGAATTTCTAAGGTCCAGTCCTTGAAACACATCTATCTACATGCTACTCACTCTGCTTTTCTGACTGAACCTTTACTGACACACTACCTATTACTGACTTCATGATTTAGACTCTTATCTTCTTAATAGACTCACTACATGTTTCATTTTTAATCAGGATTTTTACCTGTGCCTTGGCTATAGCTGGACAGTATGGCTTATTCCCCCAGAGTCTCATGTGGTCATAGATGGGGCTTTTTCAGAGGTGACTGGATCTGAGTGTGTGATGCTGAGATTTAGAGTGTGTGATTACTAAATTATTCCATTGATTGGTTTGGCATGGTTCTGAGTGTGTTTATTAGGAAGGTTCCCCCTGAGTGTGACTATTGCCTACCCAAAGAGTGTGTAATATAAGGGATAGAAAGAAGGGTTGTGTTGTCACTTGTCACTGGTTGCCAGCTGCTCTTTCCTGCCTTAGGCCCGCATCGGACTGTTTCTCCTCTGAGACGCCCTCTGCCAGGCCACCCTTTTGTGGAGCCAGCTGACTATGCACTGAAACCTGTACGAACTGTGAGCCTTCTTCCTTTAACTTTGGGTGTCAGGTGTTATGACTCAGCAACAAGAAAAGTAACTAAGATTCAGAGAAAAGTATATTTATTTGAGTTTTATATACGTGAAATGAGCCCAAAAACAGGAACTTCTATAGTTGGAGGAAAAATTGCCATGATACACAATTAATCACTTTTACTTCAAGATCTATACCCATTAAAAATTCATTTTGTCTGTATATATTTATATTTTTTCACAAAAATGTATGAATGTTTATAGTAATTCATTCATATTAGCCCCAAATAGAACTATCTAATGCATATGAACAGCAAAATGAATAAAAACTTGTACTTTAATCACATAATAGAATTTTAAATGACTGTTGAATTGAAAGTCTACAGCTATATGTGACAATATAGAAGAATGCTTAAAAAACATTGTGAGTGCAAGATGTCAGACATCTAACAGCCCATGCAATATACTGCAACTACATAAAGAGCAAGCAAAAGTAATTAACAATTGGTTACCACTGAGATGGGGCTGATGATTTGGCTTCTGGGAATGTTTGGAAAGGAGATGAGTATTTGTTGTACAGTATATTCAGTTTGTGATTTCTTGAACTATACAATTTATATGCACTTTTCTACATGTAAATTATTGTTCAAAATAGTAAATGGTACTAAAGAAAAACTCATATGTCAAAGTGGAATAAAATAGGTAAAAATTGATATTTTTCTATGTGTATGTGTTATGCAACATTTTATTATAAAGACAAAATAAAACATTTTCAAAAATCCAATAATTTAGAAATCTTAGCCACAAAACTATGCTTAAAGAACTAACAATGGTTATACTTTGGCAAAAGAAAATGAACACAAATAAGGAAAAATAGTGATGTAAAAATCGGTATAAAATGTTACACAGAATCTATGATTAACAAGCTGAAACACAAATAATGTAGGAGTGTGGAGGAATGAGAGTAAAGGGAAGTCAAATGATGTTAAAAATTTATCTCATTTGGAGAAAGGAAAGAAATACAGATTAATTCTTGACACTTGTTAGGACATAAGTTTAAACATGTATGAAAATTTATAACTAGTAAGATAAAGTGTACAGCTTCTAAATGAGAAAATAAAACTTAAAACAATATCTAAAGCAAACAAACAAGATTTTACTCATTAAAAATTCTTCTAATAAATGCAAATACCAAATCTCAGCAATTAAAAGAGAGGCCAATGTATTTAATAATAAATAAACAAATGAAGTAATACAGTAAGTTGCAATTTTGAAAACTATCAGTAATGCTATGGGCATCATGAAATAATCAGTACTTTAAAATAAATAATTAATAAACATTATTAATAAAATGAATAATTTTCTAGAAAAATGTAAATGATCACTGCTCAGAAAGAAACAAAATTTGATTAAATTAGTTGCAGTTGAATATCTTGCCTCATTGGTGTCAAGTTCACATTTTATACTGCTTTTAGCTTGCACAACTCCTTTGTCTGAGGAACTTCTGTTTGACATTGTGCTCCTTTCTTTGTTCCAGAACTATTTATTATAAGTGTCCTCTTTGTTTCCAACACTGTCTTAGCTTGGGCGACAAGCTATATTCGTACACTAGCTATATTAGGTTTTGATGGGACACATAATGCTTATATTTTTCATCTTTGCCGTATAGACTGGTAGGAACTATTTTAAACTTAATGCCAAATTTGAGTAAGGAATAAGAAAAAATAAATTGTAGAGCTACAGATGTTTACGTTTAAATCATGGGTTACTGGTAAAAGTACTGATTTTGGCACATTCTCTGTTTGCTTTTCTTCTAGCTGTTTCAGGTCTTAAGTTTAAACTTTAATCCATTATCAGTTGATTTTTTAGAACTGGTAACAGGGGTTTAGTTTCATTCTTCTGCATGTGCCTAGTGAAATTTCTCAGCACCATCTATTACAGACAGTCCTTTCGCTATATATTTTAGTACTTCTGCTGAAAATGAGTAGGGTATAGATTTGTGTCTTTTACTTCTAGGCTCTTTATTTTGTTCCGTTGGTTTATGTCCATATTTATGCCAACATCATGCTGTTTTGATTACTATAATTTTGCAATATACTTTGAAGTCAAATTGTGTTATATCTATTGCTTTTTTATTTTTAGTCAAGATGGCTTTGGCTACTTAAACTTTTCCTTTATGGCTCCACATAAATTTTTAAGAGTTTTCTTTGTAGTCCTTTGAAATACATTGACTTTCTGATAGTCATTATACTGAATTGATAGATTATTTGGGGGTACTGTGGATATTTTAACAATATTGATTCTTCCAGCCCATGAACATTTCCATTTTTTGTGTTGTCTATAATATCTTTTAACAATTTTTAAATAACTTTCAGGATGGAGACATTTTACTACCAGTTAAATTTATTACTAGGTAATTTTTTTGGGCATCTATTGTAAGTAGAGCTGTTTTCTGGTGCTCATTTTGGCAGTGCACATGTTTCATGATTTCTATTTCAGATAAATCTGCTACTGATACATTCCAATGCTAGTGACTGTTGTACATTGAATTTGTATCCTGGAACTTTACTGAAGGCATTTATCAGTTATACTAGCTTTCTGTTGGAAACTTTGGAAATATCTATCTATCTATCTATCTATGATCAAGTAATTACCAAGCAGTAACAATTTGACTTCTTCTCCAATTGGGATGCCCTTTATTTCTTTTCTTGCCTGATTGTTCTATGACTTCCAGCATTGCACTGAATACAAGTGGTAAAAATAGGTAAACTTGTCTTGTTGCAAATCACAGAAAACTTTCAGTTTTTTCTATTAAGTATGTTGGCTGCTGGTTTACTTTAAGTAGGAAAATTGTTTTAGGACATTAGAATAAGCATGACTCATTTTTGGAGAACACACCAAAAGCACAGAAAATAAAATAAAAGATAAAAAGGATTATATAAACTAAAAGCTTCTGTACAGCGAAGGAAACATCTAACAGAGTAAAGAGGCAATTTATAGACTGGAATAAATATTTATAAACTGCACAACTGATGGGGAGGAAGTTTCATATTCAGAATGTCTTTAATTTTTAAATTTTATTTTAAAGATTAATAAAACCCAACAAAGCAAAACAGAATAAATCTAATCAAAACAATGCAGTGAAATTGGTAACTTCAAAGCAGGACAACAGAAAAAAATACTATAATATATCTTGCCATCTTCACAATAGCTGTTCATTCCATCAGATATAGCAAAATCAAATCAAAACAAAGCAGAATAAAACCAATTAAAACAGAACATTGAATAAAGTAAAACATTCGGAACAAAACAAAGCAGTGAGAACAATATAGTATTTCAAAAACGAGATAGAAGGAAATCCTCCATATTTACTGTGTTGCATACTGTTATTCTCCCAATAGATGCTCAGCGCTATTTGCAATAGCAAGACACAGAGGGAGCTTCAGTGTCTGTCAACTGACTAATGGATAGAGAAAGTATACACAACAATGAAATGCCATTCATCCATAAAAAGAACTAAATTCTGTCATTTTTAACAACATGAATGGAATTGGAGATCATTATGTTAAGTGAAATAAGCCATCTAGAGACAAGGACTGTATAATCTTACCCATCTGTGGAATCCAAAAGTTGATCTCATAGAAGTTTGGAGTAGGATGGTTGTGAGCGGAGGCTACAATCGTACGGGGGATGGAGGAACAGGGCAGTGTTCATCGATGGGCTATAAGTTCTCCCAGTGGTTACACCAGGGAAAGGAGCTCTGCTGTGAGGTGGACATAGGTAACAACAATCTACTGTAAATTTCAAAAGCTAAGAGAAAGGATTCTGAAGACTTTTACCAGAAAGAAATAGTAAATATTTGCAGACATATACATATATGTATTTAACCTTATTAAATACCATGAAGATACACGCACACACACATATACACATGTATATATATATATTTAACCTGATTAAGTGCTCTGAAATATATAAATACATTAAAACTTCATGTTACCCCGTTAACATGCATAATTTTATATTTTCGTGTATCAGTTAAAAATAAATTGAATTAAAAATACCTATAGCACAGGATTGAGAATTTAGATTCAGATATTGTGTGTAAAAGACATTGGTATCTGACAGTTTTAATTACAAAATTATTGACAAAGCATGACAATAAACTTTAAAGTAACATTATAAAATGCATGAAAAGACTAGGGGGTACTATATAAAATTAAATGGGTTATTTCTGGATGACAGGATGCGTGACTTTTAGTTTCTCCATATATTTTAGTTTCCAATTTTTTTTCCATTAACATCAATTTTTCTACTAGTATAAGAGAGCAAATATTGTTTGGGCAACTTAAAATGAAAAATCCAATGCACTGATTTCTGGATATTTATATCTTATTTCACATATAGTAATTTAGATAAACTAAGATTATATACTGCTATTTAAAATGTCACTCTTCATGTAGCAGAAAAGACTCAAATACAGTCCAGGAGAGAGAACCCACCGCACTGAGTGAGAGCCATCCTCTGAGGATTTGGTTTCTGGAGCAGCACAGCGCTTAGAGATGACCTCGGTTTGTCCCTGGTGGAAAACAAACCGAAGCCCCAAGCAACTTCCGGGCTTCTCCAGTTTTGTTGCAGGGATGCTTGTAACAGTATTCATTTCCTCTTTTCTACTTAACTCTTTTCATTTTTGATTGACACATACTATTTGTACGTATTTTGGGATAGAATGCGATGTTTCTCTTCATACACACACTGTATACTGACACAATGAGGGAACTTCACATAGTCGTCTCCTTCAGGATGGCTCATATTTTGGGTGAGAACATTTCAGTTCCTCTCTTCCTATTTTGAAATAGACAAAGCAAGAATTATTAACCATTTCCACACTACATTAGAATTTATTCTCATTTTTTCCCCTGATAAAGCAAAGTGTGATGTAGGTCTTGAATTTCAACATAGACATTCCATGACAATTTTGTAGCTCACTTCATCTCTTCATCGGTGCTGGGGAGAAAAATCTTTAAATTAATCTGCCCTTCATTCAATTTGATGCTGCCTAAAACCACAGAATTTCCAGGAGATCTAGTCTACTCTAAAAGTGTCTGCCCTCCTCCTCTTGATTACATTAGAAACACCCCATATAGTAAAGTCTTTAGAAGTTTATTTTCTTCTCTTTTCATTAACACGGTTCAAGTATTCTTTTGGAAAAGATTTTGTGCTTCTGGTAACTGTTAAAAGTTTTTCTAGATCTTTGTCTTTCCCTGAATTTAAAGTGTCATGATGTAATTATCTAAAAGCTGATATTTCTTTCCCTGCGTCTTTCTACCATAGTCTTGCATATTAAGTTAACACATGAAGGAGATATTAAATGATGTAATTGATTTCTTAGGGCTGATGTAACAAATTTCCACAAACTGTATGGTTTAAAGTAACATATGTGTATTTTTCTTTCTCAGCTCTGGAAGCCAGGAACCTAAAAATCTCATTTACTGGGTTAAAGGTAAGGTTTTCAGGGTACCATGGTCCCTCTTGAGGCTCTGGGGTGGGGTGGGGGAGCTGTTCCCTATGTCTGGCAGCTTTTGGTGGCTGCCAGCACTCTTTAGCTTGTGGCCCCAAGAGTATCATCTCTGTCTCCTCCTTTCTGTTTGTGTCAAATCTTTGTTTCTCTTTTAGTCAGGACAACTATGATTGCATCTTGTGCTAACCTGGATCCTTTTCTATGTTCTCTTTTTTTTTCAGGGTCTCACTATAGGCTGGCCTTGAACTCACTTAACTCAGGCGAGGCTTGAACTCATGAGCCAATCCTCCAGCCTCAGCCTCTTGAGTACAGAGATTATAGGCATCAAACTCAGCTATCAAGATTCATTTCTTTCTTTCTTTCTTTCTTTCTTTCTTTCTTTCTTTCTTTCTTTTTCTTTCCTTTCTTTGTCTCCATCTCTTTCTTTCTTTCTCTTGCCTTCTCTGTTCTTTCTTTCTTTCTGAGACCCTTTCCTTAATTATCTCTCCAAAAGTCTTTCCATATAATCCAACATTACATGCTGGATTGGTCAGACTGTTACATGTTGGAGAGCCATTTCTCAACCTCCCACAGACGGCTTTCAAATTTGCATACATATTTATCATTCTAAATACTGGATTTTAAAATTCCATAGAAAGCATTGTAGTTTTCTATCAAAAGTAAAAGTACATTTGTGAGTATAGGTAGTCACAAAACAGTATTGAAAATTAATCTCTCTACAATTATCTCAAAGCACCACTTTGTTCTTATTGAAATTTAAAACACATTTTAGCCCAAATGATAGGAAGGCAAAAAATGAAATTGCTTCAAATATTTTCCTACTTTTTTGGGGTAAGACTGGAGAAATTGTCTTACATCTTTTTTGTTTTTGGTTTGCGCTTATTAAAAAAATGAGAAAATACTTAAACTCCTGTAGAATTGAAATATTACCTTTCAGAAATCATTTCACTTTGTGAATGAACAAACGAAGGTGCTTGTCAGTACAAGTTTGACCAATATCTAAGCTATCAAATTTCTATTAGAAGAGATATTTTTCAATGTCATAAGGAAATAACTTAGAAAGATAAAGGAAGCTTATCATGAGGCTTCCAGAGTAGAAACGGTTTTATAAACCAGGAAAGCAGTTGCTTACCTTCCTAGGGTAGATAGTCAGGGGCCCTTTAATTTAGTCCTGGATAGTCATATTTCACAAGAGCACTTGGGGCCATGTAGTTCTTTCTTAACACAGTTGCTTAGAGGTGAATTTAGTAGGATCTCAAACAGGTTTGAAAGGTTTGGAGAAGTAGAGAACGTGACATATTTTCTCGTTCTGGTGCTCCCTAAAATATGGAGTGAGTAATTCAGTAAATATAGTCCAGCAAAGCATCGACTGTGGAGTGTTACATGCAACTATAATCAGTGTTCAACAATACCTCCAGTTGGACCACTGTGCCTTATCTTCCAGGGTCCCTCAGTCACCTGAGTGAACGGCATCTCCTGAAGTAACGCTAAATATAAAATGTAGAGAAAAGGTGAACCTCCCCAAAGAAATCAGTGCAGTGATAATCATGTTCAATATGGCAGTTACGAAGTACATCAGTTTCCTATTGCTGCTGTAATAAACCACCACATGGAGTACAACAACTTAGTGTACTGTTACATAGGTTGTAAGTCTAAAAGTTAGTCTTACAAGGCTAAACCAGGATGTTAGTAGAGTTGCTTTCTGTAGCCTCCGGGGATCCCTCTTGGCCTTTTCCAGCCTTGAGGCTCTTTGTCTTCCTTGGCTGAGTGCCTGCTCCCTGTAGTGCCCTAACTCTGCTGTGTATTTCCCTTCTCCCATCTTTAACCCTCCTGTTGCTCTCTCGTAAGGATCGTGTGTTTAGGTTAGGCTCATCCTGACCATCAAGAAAAATCTTCCCATTGCAGGATTCTTAATCACTTGTGAGAAGTCCCTTTTGTTTTTTGAGGTAAAACATTCATGATTGGAGTTTAAAACATAATGATTTTGAGGGGCTATTTTTCTGTGTACCACAAAAGTCAATATTTATTAAGAGTCTCACATTTTTAATCATAGGAAATGGACAATGTATGTCTTTTCATTTTTCTAAGTAAACTTAAGGAAATCTGGGCTAAGTGTGTGTGGAGGCTCCCACAGTGAAATGTGTTTTGATGTTTCCACAGCAGATGTATCACCCAGGGATACTCTGCAAACAGCAGGAGCCTCTTACCCACTTTCTCTTCTGACTTAGAATTCATCTTCTCGCCAGCTGCCTGCTCTAAACTACAGTGAGCTCTCAGTTTATGGTCCTCTCAAGCTGAAATCTGTTACACTAGTACAAGAATCACAAAACTTATGTAAATCAATAATTGCAATGTATATGACAACAGAAATTCATAGTATGCCCAGAGTGGTGTTCATACGTGCATAGCATGCTGTCTACCCTGTGAACATATGCAATGTAACTCATGTACATATATGGATAGGTTATCTTTATGGCTTTATAGATTATAGATATAATAATTTATAAAGTTAATAAAAGAACTCCATGTTGAAATCCTCCAGATTATGTCGTGAATATCGTAGGCGTTTCGTGGGTCATCTACAAGATAACGCAACTGAGCAAGGCTGGGTCACTTTTCCCAGAGATTTCTTTCTTTGCTGTGTCAGAAACCAGAAATAGACTGTAGCTGACTGCTTTAGAAGTTTTACTTTCTGTTAATTTTAGTGCCTATTTCTATCTTAGTGTTAAAAGTCCTAATTAATGCTTGTGGTGTTTAGTATTTGATTGACTTTGCAGGCCTAAGGGCCAGTAGTCTGGGCATCTACTTGGAGGATAACAATATGCAGTATAGCAACTATGGGGACTTCCTTTGGAAGAAAGTAGCTATTGTTAATTCCCTATTATTTTATTTTATTTTTAGTTTTTAGTTTTTGGTACCGGGGATTGAACTTATGATCTTGTGGTTGCCAGGCAGGCACTTACACCACTGAGCTAAACCCCTGGCCCCTGTTATCTTACTTTAATGTCCTGTGTTACTTTCACTGCTTTGTTTTGTTTAGTTTTATTCTGTTTGGTTCTGTTTGATTTTATTATATCTGATGGTATGGGCAGCTATTTCAAAGCCAATAAGATACATTATGGTTGCCATTGTTGATTTCCTATTGCCTTGTTTTGAAGTCCAGTATTGCTATCATTGTTTTGTTTTGATTGGTTTTATTTGTTCTGTTTAGTTTGATCTTATTATGTGTGATGGTATGGGCAGCTATTTCAAAGACAATAAGATACATTATGGTTGCCATTGTTGATTTCCTATTGCCTTGTTTTGAAGTCCTGTATTGCTGTCATTGTTTTGTTTTGATTGGTTTTATTTGTTCTGTTTAGTTTGATCTCATTATATGTGATGGTATGGGCAGCTATCTTGAAGATAACAAGAGGCATTATAATAGCCATTGTTGATGTCTTATTATCTACTTTTGAAGTTCTATATTTTTTTCACTGCTTTGACTAGACTTTCTCTGTTTTACTTTGTTTGGTTTTATTATTTCTAAAATAAAAAAGAAGAAAAGTTAATCACAATATTGTTTTTTGTCTACACTATTTTAGGGTTTGCATGAATCAATCATTTATTCGTTCATCAAGGAAGTTTTGAGCACCTGTCATGTCAAGTCTGTGTGGAAGGCAGGAGACACAGTGGTAAACAAGGAAGATGAAATGTCTGCTTTTCCAAAATGTAGTCTCTTGGTGGGAGTTGGGAAATAGTAATTATTTATGTTGTACCAACAGCAGCTCAGTATACAGGTGATCATGATATGTGTAGCTCAAAGAGAGTACTCATGAGAATGCCAAGAAGGCAGTTTATTCCAGTCAGGAGATGAGAGAGGTTCAACCTAAGACATTCTTTTCTACTATATCTGTCTGTCTAAACCTTTGAGTTACATTTTTTTTCTACTTTGTGTTTTTGTGCAAATTCTATTTTTTGATGGCTTCAATAAACAAAGTTCTGCAGTCATTCGAGAAATTTCTGTAGTGCTCATTTTCTTCCAGGGATTTTGTTCATATTGGCTTTGCAAGAACAGTTAAAGTGTGATGGGATATTTGTTTTTGGCAATTTATGAGCCTTTCTTTATCTACTGAGTTTGTTCTGTAAATTTAGACTCAGTTTGGGAGGTTTGGTTTTCAACTAAGTTTCCACTACAGCTCTCCAGCCAGCAGATTTTATGGCACAGAGTTCTGATGTGGGCACTGCCACGCTTTGCCTTGGGAAGACCCATTTCCAACAGGCAGAGAACAAGACAAAGCCAATCAATTTTCATGCTCAAATACGCACTCACTCTTTGATGGGATGATCTCACTGAATTTACTAAATCAGGACAATTTAGTAACTCTACTCAGTTTTTTAAATAATGTTTTCATGACATTTCCAGTAATTATAATCACCTCCTAATAAATTTCAATTGATGAATGACTCCCTAGAAATTGCTGTAATAATATTTTGCCATTGTCTAAAAATTTAAAGGGACAGATGTATGCTTGATTTTGGTAAGTTTCATGCAAATCTCCATGAAAGAGTATTTTTGTTATATTTGGAAATACTGTATTTGTGGGATTATGGGATAGAAAGTACCATCATGTTTCACTGTGAAAGGCATTTACATCCCTTAATATTAGGAAACACTGTTACTACCTTGACACAGAACAGAGTGCCATCAATTTCCATTTAGCCATCCAGTAGGGAAGACTCTATTTTTACCGCTTAAAATGTTTGGCTGGATCTGAATCTCAGTCCTGCTTATATCAGCTCTGACTCTTTAAAAATATTCAATCCCTCTAATGCTTTCTTTGAGAGAAAAATAATCATTCCCATTGTTGTGAGGATTTAACAGGATATGCATTGCATAGTGTCTGGCATGTTGTATAAAGGTAAACATTGATGGCTATTATTTATCCTGAATGTTATATCAGATGCTGGCTAGTTTGTACATGGGAGACCTCACAAACGGAGAGATCATAGTGTTAGCAAAGTGACACGTAGCACCAAGCAAATAATCCTTGCTGTATGGAGAGATGGTAAAGATTGACAAGAGCTGTCTGGGATAAAAAGTTGGAGGGAGAGAGTGGTGGATTTGTGGGTTTAGTAATGTTCCATGGACCAAGTGATTTTGTGTGAATTCAGAAAGAACAAAAATATTTTGCTAGTGGAACAGAAGGGAAAGAGCTTAATAAGGAGGGAAATTAGAAAAAGTCATGGACAAACACGGAGGTACACAGAGAATGACAAGGGCACAGTGGGCTTCTGACATTGAGCATGTGATGGGCAAGGTTTTACACAAAGGTAAGTTAAGGACATAGCAGTGAAGTCCTTGTTCAGCACTCAAATCCAAGCAGATGAGATATTGCTGAAAAGGGATTCCTGTTAGTTGAAGTGCTTCAATGACAGCATATATCATGAGGGCTAAGTCTATGTATTTCCATTTGTCAGCTCCATCAAACTACCAAAATAGTCTCTCATTCTTAGCTATACCTTACATACATTATTCAGTGTGCCAAGATGCAATTTTTTTCATTTTCGGGGCAGGGTCTTCTTAGATCATACATTTTCTCCAGAATGTGCATCCCTCAAACTGAAAGTAATCTCAGTATATACTGCCAAAATCATGTGAAATACAATCTCATTTTTCCAACTCTAAAGAAATTGTGAAGAAAGTCAAGCTTATCTTTCACTTTCTCATTTCTTATTAATTCATCTCAACCTATATATAGAATTTAAAATATACCTTGAATCTCATCACTTCCATATCTCACTCTAGTCAAAATCATCATTTCTTAGTCTGATAGAGCAACTGGTGTGCCCGCTGATCTGCTTTATGTTCTTGTTTTTTTTTTTTAATTTTATTTAAAAGGAAAAAGAGAAAAAACAAAACAAAACAAGTGTAAGGGTACAAGTAATACAGAACTACAAAAAAAAAAAACAGTAAGAAATCACCGGTTAATAGATTATATATTATCATCTTAGAGATAGTTGCTCAAATCACAGTATCAAAACATACAAAATGGACACTCAAACAGTGAGGCTGCAAACAGTTGTGTTCAATGATCCAACCAAAAACATTAATATGGTCAGCTATTTAACACCCCTAAACACTCTTGCTGTTGTATCATTTAGAACTCTTTTTTCCCCCCTCTCTTTTTTACAACAAAATTTACACATTTTGGGTTTTATTACTCCTTAGTTCTTATTACTTTTTTTGGGGGGGAGAGAATAAAGTCAAATATGGCAGAACAAAGCTGTCAGTCAAACCAAGGATAGACATAGCACATGATGTAAAACAGAGTACATG